TCACCAACACAGCAAACTACATCAGCTACTTGTTTGACACTAACCCACTTACTACCACAGACATCGTTATCTTTACAGACAGCCTTTCAACACTAGAGACACTTGAGAGTGGGACTGATGTGAACAAAGATATATTGCACTTGATTTGGAGTCTACATAATTTGATAAATAGGCACCAAGTCAGAGTAGTCCTACAACGGATTCCTGCCCACACTGGGATACCGGGAAAAGAAAAAGAGCTGATGCTCTGGCAAAGAAAGGAGCTAGCCTCCCTCAGCCTGAAATTCCTACTAATTACACCACCTGCTGCCAAATAATCAAGTCAAACATCAAGGAAGACTGGATGAATGATTGGGCCACAGTACGACAGGAAGGATGATGTATGGCCACATGAATAGACCACTGGTGAAAGATCCAATCAATGAGTTGAGGGGGGAGATCAATCCATAATCTTCCAACTTAGAACACAACATGTACCCCTCAACCAACAACTCAACCGAATTGGAGTAAAGCAGTTTGCTACCTGCCCACTATGTGACTAGCCCTCAGAGACAGTGGAACATCATCTGTTCTTCTGTAGAAAACTAACTGATTTAAGGGGATGTTTTCTTCCCAAGCTACCCCACACATCTAATTGCCTCTACTCCTCAAGACAACAATTAGAACAGACATGCAGCTATTACCGAATGGCATCATGCAGGAGAGTTAACGCTCAGATGCTACTAGATAGCTAACAACAACAACAACAACAACAATAACATAAAGATTATATTTTATTCAGACTTCAAAACCCAAATTGTGTAAAACTCGAACCTTTACTTTTTAAAAGTGTTCTGTGACAGGCGAGATCGGTCCCGTCCTTGTTTTTTGGTGTTTTTTTGTTTTTGTTTTTTTGTGGGGGGGGGGCTGTGGGGGCGAATGTATTGTTATGCTATTCCAGTGGGACAGGGGCCACACCCAATACGTACGTCAAGAGTCAAGAGTATTGCCCTCAGTAGGGGCCGGCGCCCATGTTCCCATCCTGCGACTACAGGTCAACCCAGTCTGTGACCGATGATACATGTATGTACATCACATTAGGAAGACGGACACTCTCGATAGAATTCTATTTTCTTTAACCCTATCCGTACGTCGTGTTTTACTATCGTATCCATACGACGTGGGGAACTCTGTGCCACCACTTTTCAAAAAGGAAATTTACTCGTTAATCCAATCCGTTCGCTTTGCATAGCAGCAGTCTGTCAAAATGATTTTTTGACAAATACTGAAAATTTCAACGTGATCTTCGTACTAAAAGTATTCTAAAATGTGAAGAATACAACCCCGGGGGACAAAATGACCCCATGGCGTATGGATATGGTTAAGCTGGATTTGAACTGAAATCTTTTAGTGCTATGCAAAGAGCCTAATTACAGCACCAAAGACCAAAGTATTTATAACGATGTATGCGCAATGGAGCTGACATTTTAGAAGAAAAAGCTTTGACTTAGTGCAAAGAAAAACGTTTTTAAATGTAAATTTTTTTAAGCCCCTATCGAAACAATTTTGGATGATTGATTCATTAAGGGGCGGGCTTCCTGCCCTGTCTGTCAAGGCCAACCCGGGCTGAGAGTGAGAGGGATGGAACATCCAAGAAGAAAGACCCAGGTACTGGATAAAAGAGTTCTCTCCACCGGGGAATCGAACTCGGGTCCTTGTGTGCAACAGCAAAACGCCTATCTGCTGCACCACAGACGCAGGTATTCACAAAGAAAAAAGTTCCGCTGGGAACAAAAATAGATAGATAGATAGATAGATAGATAGATAGATAGATAGATAGATAGATAGATAGATAGATAGATAGATAGATAGACAGATAGGATAGGGTAGATGGGATGATTGAATGAATAAATTAATAAATGAATGAAGTATTCATTTGGTAAGTGTTTTACGGCGCTCGCAACTGCATAAGGTCATATGAGCGAGCGGGACACGTTTTCAGTTGGTAGGAAATTTTGAATTTAGCCCGGGCGGAGGCCGATGCCTACTCTTATCGATTTTGGACCACCAAGGGATCTTTAACGTGCGCTACTTGCACACGGGATCTCGAGATCTCTCGCCCTTATCCGATAAGGCTAGGTGTAGACCTCTCCTTCCATAAGATCAGGGGTGTAGCCGAAAGACAGCAGTAAAAAGGAGCCAAGTAGTAGCAGGAGAAAGGCTACAGAAAGAGTCAGGAGCCCAAAGGAGGGGGCAAAGGGGGTGAGGGGGTTGGGGCAGAAAGTGGAGACGAAAACAAACGTTAGAACCCTGCTAGAGAGCAGGAGAGGTGAAAGGGGACAATTTTAGAAAAGAAAATGTTTCTGTTGCTACCCGGATACGAACCCGGGACCTTTTGAATGAGAGGCGAACACCTTAACCTACAGGCCACGAGAGCCCCCGAAATTTATTTAAATCACCTTTGCTAAAGACACAAGGTCGGACCAAACTTGATCTCCAAAAAACGCAATACATGTATCACAATTATGTTGTTTGTTTTAGTAGAGGTTTTACGGCACTCGCAACTGCATAAGGTAATATGAGCGCAAAGGGGTGAATGTCAACACAGAAGTCCTTACAGTCACAAGTATGGGTCCTGTCGTCTAACCACTGGACTAATGACTGCCATCTTTCTTACCAAAAAACAAACACACTTGAGACAAAGTTTTAAAAAGTTTCATCCATTTATTTCAGTTAAGAAACATTTGATACAATGATATTATAAAATAATCTTTGAAAAAGAAAGAGGGGAACGGGGGGAGAGAAATCAAGGACACCACTAGACAGCATTGTAAAACGTTCAAGTCTGAACCAATAAACAATAAGTAACCACCAAATCTCCGCCCACGTGACAAGATTTGTCAGTTTAAAAAAAAAAACGAAAAAAAATGTCCCAATCATGATCCAACATTTTCAGTTCCAAGAAGCAAAGAAAAGACTTTCATAGAAATATGTTTGAGGACAATTATCGTTGCCAATTTTTTTTTTTTTACAGATACAACCCAAAATGAGCAAACATTGATAGAACCAAACACATCAACTCCCTCTCCCCTCCCTTCCCCCTTCACGTACAGAGGTACACCAGTGGAAGCATACGGAAAGAATAAAAAAATTGAGTGTAATGTTAATGAAGTCACACAAATGAGCCGATAAAGACAACAATGTGAATTCATAACAAAGAATAATAATAATTTTTTTTTAAACAGAAAGAAAAAAGAAACTCCCAGTATATCACAGATTTCCTTACCACATCCTCCTACTGAGGTATGACAAAAAAAAGTCAAAGAAACGTTAACATCTGTACCAGGTAGCCGTAAAAAGAAAATAGAAAAAAAACCCAACTAGGTCAACTTAGCGTACTAAAAATCTACTCTGCCAGAAAACTACATTCTGTAGGTTACAAAACTCTATGGAGATATTATATAAGAATGTTGGCTTACTACTACAGCAGCCACCTACAAAAATCTCAGAATTTCGTAACAACGCTGTACAGCCAGCTGTCCTAAGCCCACGTCACACACTACATTTTTCAGGAGGGAGAAAAAAAAAATTGTATCTTTTATAATGCTTATCAATTTGAATCAATGAACAAACAAAATATTCCAGAAGCAACTGATACCACGGATTAAGGAACTGCAATTTTTAAGTTTTTGTTTTAATTCAACATTTTGGGCTTAGAATAACCGGACAGCTAGTCAACGATTTGCAGCTTTCCAGTCAAGACACACAAGGACAAGTGGAACCAAGGAAGGTGAAAAACGAATGTTTTTCCATTGCCAGGTACAATGCTTCAAGACAAAGCAAAGGCACAATGAAGTCAGACTTACTCAGACACATAGACACGTCGATGGTCATTCAGCATAAAGAAAAGGAAGGAAGACCACACACACATATCGAAATTACATAAAATAGATTGCATTTACATAGGGAATAGGAAGGAACTAAAATATATGTCAGTAGCACCCTTCATTCACCTACACATAAGGCTATATCATCCCTAACATTTGCTAGGGATTAGTGTTTATCATCCTTCCAACAAACTTGAGTTATCATTCTACACAGAAGGGACTACTCTAAAATATTTCTGAGGAACATCAGCTGCTACTCCACTGATGATGGTTGAGGGAAAGATGGACCAGGATGAAAAGGAAAAGACTTCAACTGATGAATTTTTCTTTCTTCATAAGAAAATTTCCATCTGATCATAATCATCACGGAGGGGGGGGGGGGGGGGGGGGAGAGGAACAGTTGAGAAGATTCAGTTACAACAACTGCACAAAATACTGCAGCAGTATGAATAAATTCCTTTATAAAAAATTAATTTGTTAGAATCAAGAACTGCTGGCTACATTACATCTTTGACTTATGCACAGTCAAAGCATGACAAAATAGCATAGATTATAACAGAGGGGGCCACTAAAGTTAAATTTTGAACTTCTTAAACCAGGTTTTTGTGCACGATGGGACGGAAAACTTACAAATCAGATTGTTATACATCTTGTACCAAGACCATTTTTTCATAGAAAGTGCAAAAAAAGATGTATATTGTGCAATTGCACAAATGAGATATTGTAGTTATTATCTATCTGGCAACAGCTGGACCCTCGCCCTTCTGTCCAATGCCATGGAATAATAAGTGCAGATTTGCTGCAGTTGTTGTAATATTCCATACAGTGTGTTATCAGTGTTCAGTCTTGGAGGGAGAAGTGAAGCTCTGTTGTCATTTAGGGCTGTGCAGCGGAACAGGAGATGATCCGCTCTTTTAAAAAAATAGTTTTCGTAAGAGTTTTACGGCACTTGCAAACACAATAAGGTCATATAAGTGCCGAAGATTATAGGAGTTACAAGAGAGTAACAAACACAAAAAGAAGGAGGGTAGATAACGACGATAGATGTTTGATAGGAAAGAAGAAGCAAACCACATCAGAGCACCCGCCAAATCCACACTTTTATATATATGTGTAGTCACACAAAGGACACAATGAGGGAGGTACTGGTTTTATTCTCTTCACGTAGGCAGAAAATTGCAATTGGTTCCTGTCTTTGAAGGTGATTGATATCGTCATTGTGTTTCGTTGCGGTCGTAAGTTTGCACAAAGAGATGAAAATATAAATAATTGTACAAGTATGCAAAAGCCGGACAATTTCAGAAATCTGAATAACCAGATTTATCAGGAAAATTGGCACTTCTGTTATAAATAGCACAGCCAGAAGAAAATGTGTCAGTGAATCAAATTGAAATGGGAATAAGATGGAAATGCCGAAAGCTGTGTAACATATCAAAGTGATGGCTCAATGGAGATCTATTTCACAGACATAATAACAATACAGGTGAGAACTTATGGAGAAACTGTGAGAAGCAAAGACTGCACAATCTATTTTATCTTCAAATGGCATTACGATTAGATTATGTAAACAATTTTTAACATTGTTATACTCTAATACTTTTCCTAATAATTCAGCAGTATGAATTTTGAAATGATCAAAATCATCCAAATTTCAAATTTAAGTAAGGATTTCATAACTTGGGGATTGATTAATCATTAATTATATATATCTGTGCGTCCTGCTTTCTTCAATTCTAGTTTACCTCAGTGATCTTTGCCATATTTGTACTTCCAATTAGTAAGAGTCAGTTATGACGAAATAGTTAACAATTTATCATTTAAAAAAATAAAAAATCAGCCTGGACACTTCATAGTTTCTGCCAATTACCAGATTTTTGCAAAGACTTCAAGGAAATGCTCAACCAGTATATGAAAATGACTTCAGAGGGTACCGAAATGAGAAAGCGCAAAAGGCGACAATTTTATAGGCCTCACATTTCATTAAAAAACCTGTATAAAATGACAAACCAATAAAACAAAGAAAAAAGCAAAACAAAAAGCAATAAACTCCCCCCATGATATGCACAAAGTATCAACGTTTCATTAAAGTGTCCAGATTGTGATGCTCTTACCAAAAAAAAAAAAAAAAAAGTCCCAAAAACCCCCCAAAAAATAAGTCCCAAAAGCTGTAAAACCTTGGTATAACATACTCCCTTCTGACCTTAGGTTTTAAACTTCAAAGCCGAGGTAGGCATTACTACAATTAGCCTAAAAGTGTAACAATGCCAAATGGGACTTGGGGCAGAAGAAAGTGAAAGTGACAGCTGATAGTATGTTTTAAGTCATGAATGTTATACCAAGGTTTAACTGAGCTTCTTAAAATAAAAATGAAAATGACACCCTGTTAATTATGTGACCTTTATAAGAAAAATTGATGAACATGAAAGCGTCAAAAGAAACCCAGAGAACGCATTGAAATAAGCTAGACGCTTGTTATAACTCGAGCAGAAATACTTTTAAAAAATTATTATACCTAGAAGCAGGAGGGCTCTTAGTTTTAATGATTTAGTAAGAGTTTAGCAGCACTTGTAATACAATCAGATCCTATGAGAGCCATAGAGATTAGAGTTGTAACTAGAGAGTAACATACAAAAAAAAAGAGAGAGGAGAGATAATGAGGATAGATGTTTGATAGGAAAGAGGGAGCAAACCACACCAGAGAGCCAGCTAACTATCCACACAGGAGGTCTGAAAAATCAAAGCAGAAGATTATGAAGAAAAAAAATATATCACCTCAGAACAAGGCACAACACAAGGAAGGAAAAAAACACCACAAAAAAAAAAAAAGTAAAAACTCCAGAGCCCTCACGTATTACCATTCTGTAAAGTCAGGGGCTATGACACATTATTCCCCTGGAAAACTTCAGCATTAAAGTGGAGAGGCAGACAAATCCAAACAATAAGGAATAAAATTGTTAAAATCAAAAGCAGATCAATATGTATAATAATCAACACTATTTTCAAAAAGTCACTAATCATTATACACCCAAACATGAAAAAATACAAGAGTGTCAAAACCCACAGCAATAATGGTATTGGTCGTACAAGTGGTTTCAAATGAAAGCCTGTGGCAGACTCGCACACACAATCTCGGATTTCAAAGTAACACAAAGCCATAAGACCATTATGCATAAAAACTGATTGAAACAGAATAAATAGACGTCGCAGGGACAAATGGTATTGATTGCGTTGCATATATACGCAAGATGCATAGTGAACTAAAAGAAATAAATACACACTCGGGACATAATACACAATTTGTTCTCACTCATCAGGCCAAATACTTCAGTGGTCTTTAAATATCTTTTTTTCAACAGACAGAAAAATTTATTATAAAGTATTTGAGTTTCCCATATCCACGACTTCAACATCACAATGGGACATACTCAGTTTTAGAAAAGATTTTATTTTAAATTACCCTCATGAGATGAAAAGCTAACCCTCCCATTCTGTCCCCCTGATGTCCTGCAGAAGTAGTAAAGACATCAGATAAATAACAGACATCATGCATCAGGACATGGGGAGACCGGGGAAACAACCCCACAGCAGTAAATATCACTTGAGGATTTGGACGTGAGTATGCACAACAGAAAACACACAGCAAAAACAATCCCTGCTGAACGGGGCAATATCACGACCATAGGTAAAAGTTGGGTCACAACCATTTTGCCTGAACACTTTCAAACTCATAGCATCTCAGGGGGCTTTGCCTGAAAAGATAATCAAATCACCCTCGTACTGTCGGTGTAGCACACCATATCGCTCAAAATAGAGCAGTGGAGTTAAAAAATCGGGACTTTTTTAGACAGTTGTCAGGTGCACGAAAGAAACCTGTGCTTCATGAGACTGATGTCAAGGATGGCTGTCACCGGCTGCCAGCACCATGATTCCAACCAGCTTTCTCTTGCAGGAATTTCCTGTCACAGCCAACAAACTTTTACCCATGATCATGACAAGAAAACAAGTCAGTGCCTCGTGAATGACGACGTATCGAGAAGTGTTTGTCCACTCACCCTAACAGACGTCACGAAGGCATGGAGAGAACTCCGAGAACCTCCAATATTACATTTTTGATTATAATAAGAAAAGCTGCAGCTCTTTCTCTTTTTTCACCTCCCCAGAGTGTGAGCACAGAGACACTTTTTTTAAAAATAAAATTTATAGTAGAGGGTTTTACGACACTCGCAACCGCATAAGGTCATATGAGCGTCCTTATGCAGTTGCGAGTGCTGTAAAACCCTCTGTGGTTACAAAACCCCGATAAACTTATGGAAAATGACAGATCTCAGTTGTGAAACTGCCAGAAATTTGATATACCACAGTATAGTTAGGCTATAGAACCCATAAATTGGAGGCGTGGGGCTGAAGTACGTCGAGGCAATATTAGAATAAACAACTATTTGTACAGACAATATTAGAGACAACCTAAGAGTTTCCTTCTGTAGAGAGTTATCTTGACATCTTTGGTCAATAGTTTTGAATAAACTTATTTGACTCATTTTCCTCAGAAAATTTGAGATTTTTTTGTGTTTGTTTTTGCTGACATTTCTCTGCACCTTTCGCATATTTCAGTCATCTCAACACAATAACTTTTAATAAATACGTTAGAAAGAGACAATTTCAACATTGAAAAAAGTCTCCCCTTAATTATGGAGACAGCAAAAGAGTCTAAGGGGAAAGAACAAAGATAATAAAAAAAACAGGAAAGAACTTAGAATGATTGAACTTATAATATCCCTATTTACACCTCCCCCTTTTTTTTAAATCCCGCATCAGACATACACAAACACTATAAAGTGAGCAATGAAGCAAATATTCAACACATTTACCTTAAATCGCTGCATGCTAACAAAAAAATGTTTAATTACGAAGTGAACAAGCATGAGTCATTTCCACAGAGGTGCTATATAATAACATGATGAAATCAACATGCGTGAAACACAACAAACCAGGAAGTCTGCTCAATTACTCCATGAATAGGATGTAAGGAAAGGAATCAATACCCTAAACATTTGTTACAAGTGGAAACGCAGTATGAACTGTACAGAGTGGAATGTAGCTTCCTCAACATGTTCGCAAAGTCGTGTAGAGAACGGTCTTACCAAGACTGCTCAGCATCTCATCTGCAATATACAGGGACCCACTTTTGGACCATCCAGACCAACACATACACCCACAAAAGGTTCAAATACACGTCAAATCTTAACAAATAATAATACTCCCACAATCCGTGTCTTTCAAGACACGAGGTATATAAAAAAAAAAAAAAATATTAAACATCCAACCACTTCCATGGCACACCATATGCAAACATCCGCAATAATCAAAGGACCCACATGTGTATCTGCAAAGAGATATTTCCAAAAAATTGATGAGACAATCACTTATAGTTTGGTGCTGTAGAGAGTAAGCACTGCTCGTCAGAAGGTTGAGAGTCTCAAAACTCGCTAAAGTAGACCTCTGCCTGAGGCAGTCCACTGAATAAACAGGATCATTACAGGCAGAGACCTATATCAGCCATTTTCTGTCGTCTCCAGATAGCGTAAACTTTATTTTTGTTGAAACAGGAAGTGTCCGGCAGTGTTTCTGGGCAAGATGGCACGACGATGACCAAAATCGTGAAGACATTTCAAAATCTTTAAAAAACAAGGTTTCTTTGACCTACCTTTGTCTCTACACTTACGTGGAGAAGAGATCATGAGATACAGCATGAGATTTTTACGCCAAAACAATCTCAACAACAATGCACAACCCAACAAATGAGCCAAAAGGGTGAGTGTCTGACAAGCATGGGGAGACGGCACATTGCGACACAGCTGCACCCCTGCTGTGTCTCAAGTCCTGTAATGATGTGGCGTGGATGACGATGGTTCAAGGCTCAGGCCAGGCTGTGAAGATTCTAACTGGCACCCGTCGTGGTCTGTGACTGTGCTGCTGCCTCACTTCTGCCAGACAAAACAAACACAAGGACTTATAGACATATGCTTCGGTAGCAGCATTTGATAGACGTTCAAAGAGCTTATTATGCATCACAGTTTTTCCATTTCGTAAGTTTTACGGCACTTGGAACACAATAAGGTAATATAAGTGCCAAAGAATAGGTGTGTTACAAGGGAGTTACAAACACAAAAAAAGGAGGAGGAGAGATAAGGGCGATGTTTGATGGGAAAGAAGGAGCAAACCACACCAGAGCACCCACCAACCATACACTTGCATCACAGACAACAAACAATAATTATAATTGCATTTATATAAAGAATATGCATGCTCCACGGCATGGTCTACATGCTTTCCAACTTTCCTTACAGCAGCAGAACCTTAGAATACTCAGAAACATTCACTGCTTACTGTCCAAACAGCCAACTAAGTGCTCAAACACTAGCTATTGGACAAAATCTTTCACTATCTATAGTTCCGTACTCTTTCCCACATGGAAAATTCATTTAAAGTATCTTCCCCGAATGTCTGGAAATGATGATGACTATCAAGCTGAAACTGATTAACAAAGGCAGACTAACCATGATACCTTCTCATGACTGAAGCTAATATTTCCAAAGATGTCCTCAGACAAATCGTACTTCTTGGCTTACATTCTTCAAAAACAAAGACTTTAAAAAAATTATAGTTGAAAGGAACACAGCACACGATAACAGTCATGTGGTGCTGAGAGAAGCTACAAGACTGCATTTGGGACACAAAATAATTAGGCCACAAAAGTGCCAAAGATTATGTGGTACTAGAGAACAACACACAATAAAAAACAAAGAGAGATCGAGACGATTGATGTTTGAAAAGAAAGGAGCAAACCACATCCGGGCACCAGCTAACAATTCACTTTAAAAAAAAAAAAAAGACTTCACACATGAATTTACAGACGGGGAGGAGTTTACTTTGAAACAACACAAAACAATGAGCAAACAACAAGAACTCAGAGAAACACACAGGACACATCCACAGACAGTTTCCAAAAACACTCAACCTACTGTGGAGCGGAGACCACGTCTGGCAAAGATTGCTGCGTCGGGGACGAAGGAGCAGACGACTGACTTGCCAGTTGGGCCTTCACCTCCCCAGCAGTCTTGACCTCTGCTTTCGGCTGATCGTCAGCTGCCGGGGCTGGAAGCTCTCCATTGCTCTGAGGTGGCGTTTTGAGGATGCCTTTGAGAGGGGCAGGCTCGTTGGCTGGTGGAGGGTTCTCTGGGGGAGGCGCCGACTCCCCTGATCCGTCTTCTTGAACTTGCATGCGGTACTTGTACGTGTCTGTTGTCCGACTGATTTTCCCTGCAAACCAATTGAAACAAGTTAAAGCAATGTTTAAACCACAAAAAATAACAAATAAAAAACATACAAAAACAACAAACAAAGAAAACCAGTGAACAAGGAGTAGTACTAATGTATGTAATATTGCAGTTCATGGCTTCGCATGCAGATGTGACTCCAACTTCTACAAAGTGACGCTCAAAGTTGAGTATGGCCCGTTAGACTGCTGTAGCTCGTATACATATATATGCATAATACTATATTTTACGTAGACACATGTCCATTAATTTTTAAGGTGTGATATTTTTGTTAACGTAATGCGCATTGAGCATTTTTTAGAAAATGGAAACGCGCCGCATAAATGCTATTTATTCTTCTTCTTCTTCTTAATATTGTTCGATTGTTGCATGTTTTAGCGTAGGCCTAATGCAAACTAGTGCATCAAACCAAAAACTGAGGATATGATTGAAAAACAGTTGGTTTTTTATGCGTCCTGACGAGCTAAACTATTCTCTGGAAATATCTCAAATGAATATCAGCCAATTCCTCCTGAATTTCAGCAGAACTTCAGTTTTAATGGAAAATTTTAACCGAAAAAGTGATGACCCTGTACATAAAAAATCTGAGATTTACGCAAGTGAAATTTTTATAAAACATCATGTAAAAATGTCAATGCCATGAAAGCAAGCAAACAGAAAGTAAGTAAAAGAATTTACAAATGACTGTATACTATAGTTATTTTCGCATATAATTTCCATTTGCGATAATCTTCACTTTTAAAGAAACTTGTGGTTTTAAAAAGAAATTAGCAAATTCAAGTTGTTCATGAAATGTTAAAAGGGGCATTACAGCATTGGAACACATGGCAAATAGGCGACTCTGATCACAAATTCAAAATGTTCATTAAAAATCTAAATGGGCAAAACGGACAAAAGATAAGAGAGTGTGCAAAAAACACTGAGTGCACAGTAAGTAATGAGTAATAAAATAAAATACCAGAAGCCAGGTTGAACGTCCGTCCTTTGATGTCCTCTTTGGCGGGAGAGAACCAGTTGAGTAAAGAGCTCACCACCGGCACTTGGCGAAGGACACCCTGAGGAAATAATAATGAAAATAATAATAAAATGAAGTGCTCAACCCTGAGTAAAGTGCACAGGCTCTTTGTTTTAGTATTAGTAAGAGTTTTACGGCACTCACAACACAATTAGGTTGTACAAGTGCCGAAGATACGAGGTGTTACGAGAGAGTAACAAACACAAAAAAGGAGGGGAGATAAGGACGATAGATGTTTGATAGAAATAAAGGAGCAAACCACACAAGAACACCCGCCAACCAACCATTCACAGGCTCTGAGTGCTTTGCAATACAATACAACGTTATTATAAAACATCAGCAGACATTTGAATGAATTTGAATTCAATGTGACTGAATTGCTTGTTTGAGCAACCTCGAGCCTTGCCTTCACTGACACACACGAACACAAACATGCTCACCACACACCGCGAGTCGACCAGCACTCCTTGGCTAGATATTTGACCAATGGTGATGCTCTAAACCTGCCACACCCCCAGTCGGTCGCACGTGACGAGACCCTCGATCGCTACATGGACTGATCGGACGCGACATTTGTAAGGAGACGGTTTCTTTATACTCTTACTTGATTGATTTTAGAGCAGCACGGACCAGACCGACGTCGGGTCGCATCGCGCATAAGGAGACAAGCTCTTAGTGTGAGACTCTGCCAAATGTCTGTTTGAAAAGTGTCGCACGACAGAGTCTTTCACCAAGCAGTCCATCTTAAAATTGTCAAGATGGCCACCCATTGTTCATGACAAAAGTGGTTGTCTTAGGACAGGTTGGCTGGCATCTTGAGTAGTTACAATATAAAACCAAAAGCAAAGGGCACAGGGAAGTGGTGGTTTGGACAGGTGAATGTCTTGGACAGGTGAATGTCTTGGACAGGTGAATGTCTTGGACAGGTGGCCATTAGAGCAGGTTTGACAGTATATATGGTCGCTTTTAAGCACAAGGAGGATATCCCGAAAAATGCTGTTTTGGGAAAATCGAACGTAAAGTTTTTGCCCCTTGTTAAGTTTCTTTATAAGGCAAGGAGAGTTTTCTCTATAAACCAAACAAATATACACACCAATGAAACCAAACTTCTCCTATAGGTAGGTCAATGCCCACTTTTGGTGTAGGTCAAGATTTCTGGAAACCCCCGAAATCTGAGTTAGCCCGCTTGTCCTTATTTATTTTATAGTAGTAGGGTTTACGGCACTCGCAACTGCATAAGGTCATATGAGCGCCAAGGGGTGGGTGTCAACAGAGAAGTCTTTACAGGGAATCAGACCCACTCTGCCCATCTCTCTAGCTTCAACAGCACAAGGTCTGCTTCAACTATCAAGGCACCCCGGAAATAGCAGGTCACAAGAGAGTGACAAACATACAAAAGAAGTAGAGGAAAATGACAATAGTAAGGATTAGGAAAGAAAAAGCAGCAGTTCCCTGTTGTAGATCAGGCACAGTTATGAGCGTGACTTGAATCAGCCCATTTTCTGCTGCACTTGAACGAGAAATGTCCCCCCTTTGAGAATGGCCTAAAGACACTACAGTCAGTGGCACTGCCCCGGGGGGTGCTGTGTCCCTAAAAGCGACCATATTCAACAACTGACCATATCACTTTGAACACACTGAGACCAAAAAAAGGAAGTGGAATGTACCAAGTGCCACTGTCAATGGCCTTTTCCTTGCTGTGGACTCTGCCACAGTGTGTTCAAGATTAGAACTTTCCATAAATGTACCACAACGAGGTGGAAATAAGCATTCGTCAATTTGAGTAAATGGAATTATTGAAATCATCTAAAAGCTATTCAGTTGCCTTTCTTTTGATGTCAAAATTATCATTCTATCATGAATAGAAGTCGAGATATTTGTATTTGATGGAGGTGGTGGTCACCTGGTTTCTGGGATAAAATTAGCGAGAAAATGGCCGCCAAAAATTTGGTAACTCCAAAAGCTTGAGAGTCCTTGGAAACTAAACATGTACAAATTTTGTACTTTTTTGGGTACAGTCCACAAGGAAATGTGTTTTTATAAGAACATATGGACATAAAAGGTTTTGAGTCCCCCCAAAAAATTCGATAAAAATTGCCAAACTGACAAATAAATGCTTGTTCTTTCCATTTCATTATATTGATGAGAGCCTGATTTCACCATAATGTCTCAAATATGTGCATTCAAAGAGTATAGTATTACTGAAACTTTCCATAAGAGTGCATTCAGTCTCATCGAACTATCAGTCTATTATTACAACAACTTTCCATAGACAGGCATTCAGTCTGTCACTCTACACAATTAGTCTATCATTCTTTCTGACAGATTTCCCAGCCACTTACCTCATGCATCAGCTTCTCTGTGTTCTCCTTCGCTAGTTCTTTGTTGGCCTCCTCAATTCCTTTCCTGATCACTTGTGACATAGACTCCAAATACTACATCGAGGAAAAAAAACAACATAAACAGTTCATTACCCCGTTGTCACTGTTGGGATAAAGAATTAAAATGCACTTGAGTTTTACAACTTCCGAGCTCAACTAGCCTACAATTAACCCCCCCTCCCTCACCAAAAAAATCCCTCCTCTGCAGGCAGCAGGGATAATAATACAATTATAAAAATTGCATTTATGCAACGTTAACAGCATGCTCTATGCACTTTACAACTATATTTACTCCAACAGACCATAATACACCCAATTTTCATTCATCAGGAAAAGTAACTCATCTAATGATGGAACAAAAAACACCAACATCCATGCTCAGGAATACAATGTCACCATGCAGGACTACTGTGCCCTAACAGGTTGTTTCTATACTCTGGAAGTTTAGAGTAAAGCAGATTTTTGGATGTGGATCCATGTAGTTAACCAAAAGACTGTTTTCCAGCCTAGGAACAACATCCCTCCCTCCCCCCCCCCCCCACCTCCATCCCACTGCAGCAGATATTTGATCCACTTTACTTCAGAGCTCTTCTCCCTCTCTCTGCATCTATATTAACTCACACAGGTCACAACACATACCCAGTAAGCTGCAGTATGGATTTGCATCGATGACTAAAGATTTTTGGTGCGACTTCACTGAGTTAACCGGAAGCGCGTTCCAACACAAAGAAGAAACCCTCAACCCCACCACCGCTGACATTCGATTCAGCTTCAGAGGCGTCACCTGGCAACAAAAACAACAATTCTGAACTTCTCCGACCTCGTGGACACAAGTGAAAGTTGGGACTCGAAATTTACTGATTATATCGTCTAATACACAACGCATTGAGACGTTGGGCAAAACGTCAGGCGATTTCAGAAATCCGGATTTCCGGTATGATCCAGAAAATCGTCACCTTCGCAGCCTTACCTTGGAGCTCTCCTCCACCTCTCGGCCCACGCTGTAGACCAGGGACACCAGTTCCTCCACGTCCGTGTCCGACGTGATGAGACCGAACCGGACACACACCATCCCCTCCGCCGAGTGACCTGAGGGGAGATAACCACGTGAGCCTCCCTAATCTCAGACTTATCTCTTTAAAAACGTGAAGAACTGGAAACTGTCAGCAAGCTGTTCAGATGTACTGAGTAAGATTGAGCCTGTGATAAGAGGAAAGAAAGGACTGAAGGGACAGTAAAGCAAGGGAAGCTATATACTTCTTTATCTGAAGGACTTTTCAAGGTCATTCATCGCTGGCAAAAATAAAATGTGTTCTTTCGGCTGGAGACTACAAAGAGAAAAAAGCAAAAAAACTGGTGATGAGGGAAAAGACCATGTATAATGTACGTCTTTTGAGAGGATCTGAGCAGAAAAATGAGTGGCGAACCATGATCCAGACAGACACACACGTACAGTTCGTGGAACCCCCTTGTTCAACAGCAGATCAGGGCTCGGCAAGACTGGTCTGGGGTGAAGGTTCAAAGGTTAAAAAGTATAACAGAAAAACAACCTACCAGTGGAAAAGGCTGTGTCCTGTGCCTTGAGCTTATGCACCAGCTCAGCATTGAGGTTGTTCACCTCTGTCTTGGCACTCTCCGGCACTTCGTCACCCTGGCTGGCATAGGGCTCCGGAATGTAGCTGCAACAATAGTTGTACAAATATACTTTCAATTTAAAATACATGTATTTGTGGCATCAGGATGAAATCAGGCACTCTATAAAATAATAAAATTTTTAAAAAGGCACTTTTACACTTGGGCAATTTTCATCAATTTTTTGGCTCAGCTCATTTTATGTCTATTCAAAAATACATTTCTATGTGGTTTATACAGAAAAATGATCAAAGGCACAAAAAATGTAAATTTGCAGTTTCCAAGGACACTACAGCTTTGAAATTTGCCAAACTCTGACAATGATTTTCACGCTAATTTTATCTCTGACACCAGGCGACCTCCACCTCCTTCAATTGCAAATATATAGACTAATTTTCAAGATAGATGGGTTTTATTTTCATCAAAAGAAGGGCAAATAAATAGGCTTTAAGATTATTTCAACAACACCATACGCCCCAAAATTGACAGGCGCCTGATTCCATTGCGTTGTGACACATGTGCGTCTGCAATATACCAAATCTGACAAAAAACGCAGCCACAAAAAGACAATCACTTTTGTCATAAATATTTCTGTGGATTGTACAGTCAAAAAGTTAGCTCACCTTAAATCTTTAAGGCCTTGCAATGAGTCTTGATCTATCGACTTCATGATGAGTTTTATTTTTCTTCAGTTAAATAAGCCCTTTTTAAATAATTAGGTGGTACAGGGCACCATTATTATGCTACAAGGTGGCAACAAAAGTGCACATTTCTTATAAAGAACACAACCTCAATCTATCACCAAATTCCCCACAGACAGTGTGGCTAAATATAGTGTGCTCACCTAACAGCTCCAAGGCCTGCCCACGAGTCTAGATCTACCAACTTGAGGTTGGGATTTGCATTGACAGTGGTCTGGAACTTTTTCCTCTCAACGGTCGTTGCATTGAGAACACTCTGAGGACACGAGAGAAACGGAACATCATTTTTTCGTTTTCCTAAGAGTTTTATGGCACTCGCAAAACAATAAGGTCATATAAGTGCCGAAGATTAGGTGTGTTAAAAGTATGTAAGAAACACAAAAAAGGAGGAGAGATAAGGACAATAGACATTTGATAGAAAAGAAGGAGCAAACCACACCAGAGTACCCTCCAACCACTCATGCGGAACATCAGACGCCGGGTAGTCAGTGACACAACATTTTTGACACAATCACAAATTTCTGACACAGACCTGCCAACCACTCCACGACCAAAGACAAGAAAATTTTAATCAAACGGTGTTTTTATGCCCTCCTATCAACACATTTTAGATCCTTTAAGAGGCCTGCTTCAAACCCTGCCAGTCAGAGCCAATCCTGCATCCCAGCAGAAAGACCAGGATACTCTAAAAGAAATTTTCTCTCCACTCAAAAATCAAACTCTGGTCTCCTGCATTGGACAACAGAGAGCTTGACCACTTCACCATTGACTCCGATTCCCAAAATAGGATTTTTCCTCAGAACCCAATCTGGATTGAAAATAACAAACCTCGGAATCAACCCAAAATATTTTTATTTTTTTAAAGTGTTTTACAGCGCTCAAAACTGCATAAGGTCACATGAGCGCACGGGACACACCAAACATTTTCATTTGGTAGGAAATTTTGAATTTTGCCAGGGTGGCGGCCGAAGCCTACTCTTATAGATTTTAGACCACCAAGGGATCTTTAAAGTGTGACACTTGCAAAGTGGACCTCCGAGATTTTTCGCCCTTGTCCGAGAACGCTAGGTGTAGATCTTTCCTACCAGAAGATCAGTGGTGTGGCAGAAAGACAGCAGGGAGAAGGAGCCAAGGAGAAGCAGTAGAAAAGCCGCAGGAGGCAGGAGCCGAGAGGAGGGGGCAAAGGCGATGAGGGGGTATGGGCAGAAAGTGGAGGCGAAAGCAGACGACAGAACATTGCTAGAGAGCAGGAAAGAAGGGGAAAAGATCGCTGCCCGGATTCGAACAGGAGACCTTTGAATGAGAGGTAATCACATTAACCTCTAGGCCTTGAGAGCCCCTAAATATAAATTAACAATGTGATAAATAAATATATAATACAAGTACACATAAATAAATAAAACTATTTCCAGACGATTTAAGAAGATTCATTCACATATTACAAACAAACGTAAATAAAAATAATAATAATAATGATGGGCATTTTTCACATCATCTATATATTATATAAATCAAGTAACTTACCAGATTTGACTTAAGAGATTCCACAAAGTTTTCAATGTCTTCTTTCTTTGTGCCCCTGCCTGAAACCAAAAAAAAACCCATGATCAACTGACATAAAAGGAGACAATCAGAAGAGAAAGGAAATTGTCACTTGTAAAAAACAAATACCATCCACTAATCAAAATCTATTCTGCGCTAGTACCCACTCACTAAACAGTCAGAGTATCAAACATATTTGCTAATGAAAAGGAAGGACTGAACATAATCGATCCAGTTCTCTTTTTATCCATCCAGGAACATAAAGATAACAAAAAATCCATGAAACCAGCTAAAAATCTTTCTTATTGAGGTAAGACAATTTTAAAAAATTAACTTAACCGTTCTTAGCGAGGAAAACACACATATTTTAATTTAGTTTACATTGAAGGAACTTCATTACACAATCCATGAATCACTCACATTGTTGATAACAATCAATACTAAAACTTTTCCCTGAGATAAGTCAACTTTTTTAAAGGAAACTCATTGATGTAAAGAAAACACAGCAGAAAAGAGAAGTGCTATCCCTAAACACATTCTTTCTTAGTAACAATAACAACAATAGCTCGTCTATCAGGACCTGAAGACGATCTGTAACATTCAAGGAAGAAAAGAAAAGAAGTCACAGACCTTGCTAGCTACCTAGGTGGATCATCTCACATTTTCTTTCACACTAAGACATAATCTCCTAATGAAACACAAGGCCACCCTAGTGCTTTCTTGTCGTTGCTCCATTTTTAATAACAGTGAAAACAGTTCATAACAAAAAGTGAGCTTAAGAAGATGTTGAATTTTCACTGTTGAAAAAAAAAAGATACGACAAGAAAGCTCTGTGGTTGTGATATCCTTAGCAAAATAAATATCTCACTCTGGGCAGTCTCCAGCGGTGCGTAGCGGATACAGACTCCTTCCTTGTCCACCTCCACCAGGTCAATGGGTACACGTGGATTGGCCACAACCAGTGCCTCCGCCAACTGAAGGACACGAACACAAAAAGAAGAGGTCAGACTTAGTTTAATTACAGTACAAAGGTTTATAGTACTTATAACACAAATAAGTCGTAAGAGTGAGGAAGATTGGAGGTGTCACTATAGAGTAACCTACATAGAAAAAAAGGGAGCAAAGATAAGGATGATAGACGTTTGAGAGGAAAGAAGGAACAAACCACATTAGAACTTCCCGCAAACAACAAACCAAGCTCTCTCATACCATGCTTTCCAACTCTTCAAAACCTAATCATGGATATTCAAGGTTGTAACATTGGATTACATAACCACTGACAAAATTACATTCAACTGGGACTGTTACCATGTAGTGTTTGTCGCAAGGCTCTCAGATTGTCCCCCTCCCCCTAACAAAAGAATCGTCCTCCATATATAACACACACTCACATGCACACACACACCCACACACACAAACACTCAGACACACACACCACAAAATTATTCACACCAACTCACCCAAGTGTTGAGAGCATCAAAATACACAGCATTCACCTCCTGGTTGGAATCGTCCTTCAAACGTAACACCCACTCACATGCATTCTCACACACACACACACACACACCCCCCCCCCCACCCCCCAACACGCACACAAACCATACAACACACACCACAAAATCATTCACACCAACTCACCCAAGTGGCACACACGCATGCGCACACACACTCACACACACCCTCCGACACACACACCACGAAAGAGTCCCCACCAACCCACATAAGTGTTGAAAGTATAAAAATTAACCGCATCCACCTCCTGGTTGGAATTGTCCTCCACACATAACACACACTCTCAAGCACTCACACCCCCCCCCCCTACAAACACACACCCAACCCTACCAGACACACCACAAAATCATTCACACCAAATCACCCAAGTGGCTCACCTCACACACGCACCCTCCCATCACACACACCACAAAATCATTCACAGAAACTCACCCAAGTGTTGAGAGCGTCAAAGTACACAGCATCCACCTCCTGGTTAGAATCGTCCTTCAAACGTAACACACACTCACATCATTCTCTCACACACACAAACACACTCCCCCCTCCCCCCCCACACACACACACCCAAACCATAAACACACACCACAAAATCATTCACAGCAACTTACCCAAGTGTTGAGAGCGTCAAAGTACACGGCATCCACCTCCTGGCTGGAATCGTCATCTACCTTCATTCCGGAGTATGGAGCGACCACAGCCCCTGGGGCCGCTGTGTCCTCGCAGTACTTAAACACCACAGTCGGGGTCACAATCTCAAACACCATCTGGGGAAAGAAATAAGACAGACGTGTAGAAACACTGGGGCTTTTCTGCCTTTAATGAGTATAAGATCTGAACAGATGGAGATACAAAGGAGGAGAAAGAGAGAGAGAGAGAGAAAGAGAGAGAGAGAAAGAAAGGAGGAGACAGAGAGAGAGAGAGAGATAAGAGTGAGAGAGCTCTCAACAATCCTCAGAATAATTTAAGAATACATAAATACATAAGGAAATTGTTAGGCACGTGTACACCTACCAAATACTGAATTGTTCGGAGCACGTATTTTCAAAGTCAAGGTCGTTCCCCGATTCATTTCATCAGTGTGTTTAGGAAAGTTGTACAAACAGATTGAGACTCATGAAAATATGGATGATACTTTGAGATCCAGACCATCTCTAAATGAGTTAAGTAAGCGAAGCTATTGAACACTATGGTAAACAGAATTTCTGCAGTTTTGTCAAAGGAGATTCCCAGAAGGTAGGTCTAGATCTATTCTTACTCTTAGTTAGTCTCGTGACTTTGAAAATACATGCCCCGAACAATAAGGTGTTAGGCCGGCGTATGCGCACCTAACAATGGCCAATACATAAAAACTTATCTCACCAGGGCATTGATAGCTTTGAAAATGAGATCTGTTACATTCTTGGGCTCCTTCTCTTGTTTCTTCTTCTCCCGGCTCTGTAAATAAAGAAGGAAAGATAGCAAAATGACTGGGTTTATCATCAAAATTTTATTTTTCACAATATCAAAACTTCATGTTTGAGACCATTTCAGAATTAATATCCAGCTAAAAATATAAAAGCGATGGCGAAGAACTTTGAACAAGTAAGTCCATTTACGATGACAAGACTATCAAACACAAGGTATTCTAAGTGTTTAATACTCCCATCAGAACACTGTACACCATTTAGAAAGCAAGTTATTTCAACGTAGCCCGTCAGGGCCAAACAGACAGACTGGGAGAAAACATCCCAGCAGACAGACAAAAAATTAATGTTTTTTATTGTTTCAGAGAAGAGAAGCACAGACAGACAGAAACAACAGAAAGAAAGAAAAGAAGAATGACCTGCCAGTGCCGCCCTCCAACCACCTGTTGACAGATGGGGAAACTTGATAAACCTTTCCCACTTCGGAATCGAATTATTGTCTTCTGTGTGGGAATGTGAAGAATATAATTGCTACACCATAGACAGCAGTCTTGGGAAAGTTGAGAACAGCTTAGCACTAGAACAGTCACACAGCTCACCAGAGTTAAAATAGAAGCATGACAACAAAATAGACAGAAGCACACAGAGTAGCGATGGTAAGAGAAGCTCTCTCCAAAAAGCAACAGATCTGGAGAGGCAGGGGCTGCAACTTAGTCATAGTTAACTGTGACTCGTCCCTGAAGCGTTCACATTTTGGTAGGTGTTTTTATGCCCCCCATCAACAAAATTTTGATCATTTATGAGACAGGCTTGGAACCTGCCTGTCAGAGCCAACCCAGACGGAGAGGCATACAATGTCACAGCGAAGAGACAGAGATGCGCGATAAAAGTTCTCCCCACTCAGGAATTGAACTCCAGCCTTCTGAGTGCCATAGTGGAGCACCTAACTGCTACACCAGACATTGCTGTTTCGCTATCAATAGAAAAAGAAACAGTTAAGCTGAAAAGATGAAGTAGAAGCAGACTTCATCAGTGTCCAGGAACTTTCAGCAGAACTGGAGTGAGGCACTTGAAAAGAATTCCTAACAGTGACTAAAACACGAATAAAGGGAAGAGTTCCCATGGAATCAGCACACTTGCAGACAAGCACTTCATAACACAAAGCATTTTATTTAATAAATGCAAACCAAAAACAGACCCCTTAAAAAAAATTTAATAACAACAACAAAAAGTGATCAATTTGAAATACAAGTTCATAACACATTTGACAAAAACTTACAATTTGCTTTATGGTGGTGAGCTGGTCTAGCTGATCAAACAAGATCTTTGCCTGAAATTAAACATACAGAAAAAATGTGTTATGTTGAGGTTTTTTTCATTTTAGTAAGAGTCCGTGGCACTTGCAACAGGATAAGGTCATATAAGTTCCGCAGATTAGAGTTGTTGCAAGAAACTAACAAACAAAAAAGAGGGAGAGATAAGGACAACAGATATTTAATAGGAAGAAGGAGCAAACCACATAAGAGCTTCCGCCAACCACCTACAGATACAGAAAAGATGTCACTCTATTTATTGTAAAGTACCCTTTTCAAAGAGTCTCTATATGAACAATTGAAGATAGCATTGAAATAAATTCTGTTTACCACCTGCATCATTCTACAAACGCTCAAGTCATTTCTGGAAGTTTTGAGAAAACTAAAAAAAAGAGAAGACCCAAATCAGAGCCATGATTTGTGCACTTGTTAAATTTTTCAATCAAAAGCTAGGAACAAAATAGCAAACCAGAAGGACACTACATAGTAAGATGCTCCTTGATGTCTGTGTTAGAATAGCATCAGGTTACACCAGAAATAGGTCTGGGCAACTGAAATAGCTTTGATAGATTAATCCTATCATTGCAAAAAGCACTCAGAATTTTTGTTTCCTTAGGTCTGAACCCTTCATGGGAACACTATTAAAATGTTGTATATTATCAATTAAATAACTTTTTTGTTGTCACTGACTGCTTTTTATTTAGATTTACTCAAACTTCTAAAAAAATAATTGTTTTGTTAGGGTTATTTTTTGTTTGAGTAAAGAGAAGCATATCGACACCATGATGGTCATTTAGTGCAGGAAAGAAGCAAGACAGATAAAGGTAACAGAGGGAAAGGAAAGAAGTAGGACTTATCAGTGGTGACCTCTAACCACCCACACAAAAAAAACACTTCTAATTTTTTTTTTATAATAATAAATAACAAATGAATAGACAAATAAATAAAATTAAATAAAAAAGTAGAAATTTTTTTTTTATTAAAAAAATATTTTTAAAATGTCTACTGACCAGATCACAGGAGTGTTTGATTTTGTTGACCATGCCTTCATGTCCCAGGCTCTGGAGACACATCCACAGGGGAAGGCACTTGAGCTGTAGGCGGGTGTCGATGGAGGTGAGGCCGGCCGCTTCGGTCAGCGTGGCGTCAGAGTCTTTGAACAGAGTCTGGGAGAGGTGTAGGTTAAGGGCAACAACCATAAGTGCAAAAGCTGGCACGGGCAACAGGTTTATTTGGTGGGGGGGGGGGGGGGGGGGTTAGGTAAGTGTTTTACAGAACTCGTAACAGCATACAGTCATATGAGCGTGCGGAGCACATTAAATATTTTTAGTTTGGTACCAATTCATTTTGAATTCGGCACAGGTGGCAGCCAAAGCCTATTTTTATTGATTTTGGACCACCAAGAGATCTTTAACGTGTGCAGCTTGCACATATGAGACCTCCCATGTTTTTCACCTTTTTCGAGAAGGCTAGGCGTTAGATCTTACCACCCTAAGATCAAGGTTGTGACTGAAAGACAGCAATAAGAAGGAGCAAAGGAGTAGCAATTGAAAGGCTGCAGAAACAATCAGGACTCCACGGGACAGGACAAAGGAGGTGAGGGGGTGAGGACAGAAGTGAAGACCAAAGCGGACGACAGAACACGGTTAGAAAGCAGGAAAGGAGGTGAAAGGAGGAAATTTTAGAGAAGAAAATTGTCCATCACTGTCAGGTTTCAAACCCGGGACCTACTGAAGGAAAGGCGAACCCCATAAACTCTACACCATGAGAGCCCCCTGACTCATCCGTTTGTGGGTCAATTTTTGAAAATCTTGAAAGTATGCTTTTAAATGTGTTTTTAGCAAGTCTAGAAATTGTATCTGTTGCTGTAAAGATATTGATCATATTTTTCATAGAAAATATTTCAGTATTTTGCCTCAGACAGCAGTCAAACATTCCAGTACTGAACTGCCTTTCACTTTGTTTTTCGTTAAGTAAGAAAAAATATATAAAAAACAAATGAAATGTGCACCTAGTGGACAAAACCACCAGGAATCATCATAAATTATGTGTTCTTAAAAGGACATTAAAGGCATTCAGGGAATTTTTTTTTAAATTCAATAAAAGTTGCCCCACCTTCAGAACAGTGGAATTTCTTTGATTTGATCATTTTGACGAGTGCGTGGTTTCACCAAGATGCTACATAGGTGACTCAACACACTCTTAATGAGATAAAGTAGACCTTTCGTTTTTGTTTTAGATTTAGTTAAGTATTTTTACAGCACTTGCAACATAATAAAAAGTGCCAAAGATTAGAGGTGTTACAAGAGAATAACTAAAGAAGCAGGAGCGGAGATAAGGCCGTTAGATATTTGGTGGGAAAGAAGGAGTAAACCACACCAGAGCACCAGCCAACCACCCGCACTTTTGTAACAAAAGGATACAATGTATGGCAGAGCGGGCACTCCCAGCCACTTGGAGAGGTCGAGGGTCAAACTGTCACCAGACACGGCAGACTCGACAGACGTTGGCACAGAAAAGAGGGTCAACGTCGCCAGATTGTTCCTGAGGATAAAAACCATTACAGGAATTGAGTCAGCCTTTTTAGCGTTAATTAAAGTTTTACAGCACTTGGAACACAGACAGGTTATAAAGGTGTGAAAGAATAAGAAATGTTACGAGAGAGCAACATACAAAGAAAAGCTGTTGGAGAGAAGGATGAGGACAATAGATCTTTAGTTCAGTTTTAATATGAGTTTTACGGCACTCACAACACAAATAGGTGAAGAAGATCAGAAGTGTTTAGACATGTTACTAGAGAGTAACATAATATGAAGGAAAGAAGGAGGGGGGAATAAGGATGACAAATGTTTTACAGAAAAGATGGGGCAAATCACACCAGAACACCAGCCAACCATCCACAAACTGAGTGAAGTAAGTGCAAAAAGAATAGTTAACACAATGGCATTCATTTTCTTTTGTTTTAGTAAAAGTTTTAAGGCACTTCCAACACAATTAGAACACACAACTGAAAATAGTTACAGGACAGTAACAAATGCAAAAAAGAAAGAAGAGAGATACGGATGATAGAGATGATACCGCGACCTCAGTGCTCTCTTGTCGTATCTCCATTCTTTTTATCAGTGAAAATGTGACTTTTTCATAATCGCACTCTTTGTTAAGAACTGTTTTCACTGATGATATTAAAAATGGAGATAGAACAAGAAAGCACTCAGGTCGCGATATGTTTTTACCATTCCCATGGAGCCAAGAAATATTATTCACAGGAACAATAGTTCCATCTTAATTTACCTTATCTTATCATGTTTTGAAAATCTCTGTATTGTGAGCTGAGACAACCTACCCTTCCACATGCAGCCAGATGTTGTTAGTCTTGGCAATCTCCTGCAGTCTCTGCAAGTTGTCCACATGTCCAACAATTGGGGTGCCTGTGTTTGTCGTAAGACAAGTGTAAGCAATTTGTACTCACAAGGTCATCTAATTAGGGTATAAAAATTTTCGTTACAGTTAAAATTAAGCAAAACATTGAATATTCCACCTTTTTACAGCTTGAAACGAAATTCGATTTTCCTTCAGGCAACCTCCCCTCCCCCAAAAAACAACTAACTGAATACAAAGTGAACTTAGTTTCAGTTTGGTAGAAAATTAACGGCCCTTGCAAATGCATATAGTCATACTTGCAGGACAAGAGTTAATTGTTTTCCTGTTAGTTCATAACACTGATAGGTTTTACTTTGCAAGTCATAACGGATGAAAATACATAGTAAAAGAACAATTAACATTTTAAAAATAACATTATTTACATATCTGAGTAAAGACCATTCGCCTTTGAAAAATTGAGAATTCTGTTGAAATAAACGATGGAGAACACATTCTTTAAATCTGCACATTTAAAATATTTCCTGTAGGCCGCCCAAGGGTGAGCTTATAGAACTGAGAACTCGACAAACATACCAGCATAGGCCACGAGGAGAACAGGGGTCTTGGCGGCAGCGATGTCGTCCTGGATCAGTTTCTCCAACATGGCCACATCCTTGTTGAAAAAAACCCAAATGACATGAAGTTATGAAATGGATTGGCTTTTACTTGCGAGTTGTGAGATCTCTCTTACCATTCAACAAGGTGCAATCATCATCATCATCATCATCATCATCATCACCACCACAACCACCACCATCATCATCATCATCATCATAATCATCATATTAACAACAAACAAAGAATAGGAGGAGAGATCAGGATGATAGATGTTCAATCAGAAACAAGGAGGAAACCACACACCAGAGTTCCAGCCAACCACCAACTGGCACAGTCTATATGCAAGACAAAGAGAATAGGACATTAAAAGTAAATCACTAACACCACCACCCAACACCCCATTCCCTCTTTCAGTTATTCTTATAAGTGCTAAAGACAACAAGAAAGCACTAAAACGTTGTGTTCTGCCCCAGTATGTCATATAAGTGCCGAAAATTAGAGCTGTTACAAGAGGGTACCAAACATACACAAAAAGAGGAGAGATAGAACAACAGATCTTTCATAAGAAAGAAGGCGCAAACCACACAATAGTACACGTTAACTACCCACACAAGCATTCTAAAACTGGTATTTCTTTGAATTGCGTACAATGTAAAGACAACCAAACAGGTCATCCGTGGCTGCAGGTTGGATATATAAGGACTTCTCTCCACCAACAGCTCAAAGTAGCAAATGAATGGAAAAAAGAGAAAATGTTTTAGTTTTAGTAAGAATTTTAGTTTAGTTTTAGTAAAACTTTTGCGGCGCTTGCAACTGCATAAGGTCATATGAGCGCCAAGGGGTGGATATCAACAGAGAAGTCCATACAGGGAATCAGGCTTACTCTGCTCACCTCTCTAGCTTCAACAGCAAAAAGTCTGCTTTGACTATCAAGGCACTCCGGAAATAGCAGGACACAAGAGAGTGACAAACATACAAAAAGAAGTAGAGGAAATATGACGATACTAAGGATTAGGAAAGAAAAAGCAGCAGTTCCTCGTATGCCGTTCAGGCACAGTTATGAGCATGGCATTGATTTATCAGCCCATTTACAACCCTACTGAGCATAAGAACATGTTAATGTCCCCCTTTGGGAAAGGCCCAAAGACACTTCAGTCAGTAGCACCGCCCCGGGGGGGTGAGTAAGCATTGTATGGCACTTGCAACACAATCAGGTCATACAAATGTCAAAGATCAGAGGTATTACTAAAATGTAAGAAACAAATAAAAGGAGGAGAGATGAGGATGATAGATGCCTGATAGGAAAAAAGGAGCAAACCACACGAGATCCCCCACCAACCACCAGCGAAAAAGAAAAGCAGAAGTCAGCATCTAAGATAAGAACCTGCTATACAAGAGCTTTGCTGAACATGTGTATTCAACACAGTGATATAAAGCTGCTCACTGAGAGAGACCTCTGACATTTAAAAGCCTTTAAATTTGAAAATCAATACCCTGAAAAACCTTGAGTGTTACAACCATCCATGTACCTTTTTTCTATAGGACAACACTGAGTCAAACCAAATTCAGAAAGTGTAATTCTGTATTCAGAAAAAAAAAACCATTCACATATTGGTACTCTTTTTTAAAACAAGTGTTGGATTCACAGTCTTATAATGCACATCAAAAAAGCAATTTACAAGTAAATTAAGAAGTGAGTGACTTTCGCACCTCCTCAGTGAGTGTTTGTGAGTGGGGAGGGAGGGAGAGGGAGGACAGGACATCACAACATATGAAGGAGATCAATCCAATCGATATCCCACAGAGACCGTTTGGCTCACACAAAGTGACCTGTAGTTTATCCTGAGTCAGCACAATAACAGAAGCCTCATTTTTGTCAGAATCGGCAGACTGGGACAATCAAGATAAAATATATAAAGCCGAAACTGTTCAAGAAAGAAACGCATTGCCCTGGAGAAAAGTGGTGGTTGTCACAGACAGATGGACTTCTTGGTCAGTGTCACTATAATATAGACAAAACGTGGGGGGGGGGGGGGGAGGGGGGGGGAGAGTAGTCAATTGTAAAGATGATTGTATATTGGACTTGTGTTTTACAGCAGTTTCAACTGTGTATTTTTTTTTACAGTCTTAGTAAGAGTATTATGTTACTTGCAACAAGAACAGGATATACAAGTGCCAACGATTAGAGGACTTGCAGGAGAGCAACATACAAAGAAAAGTAAGAGGAAAGATATGGAAAGAACCATACCAAGCCATGCTAGAGAATCTGCTTTGCTTAGTTTGGTAAAAGTTTTACGGCACTTGCAACACAAATATAAGTCAGTTTTTGACTCATCAATCAGTGGCCATCTCGGACAATTACGACAGTATTAAGTAGTAATCAGCTCTCACCATTTTGCTGCTGGCTCCAAACACAGTGTTGCAAGGAACTGTACACACACAGGACAGAGGGAGCCCAAGCTGGGGAACACATACAGAAATACACAAAAATATTATAATAATCATATAAATGTGTCATGACATAGTTGAATCAGGTACTCTTAATTTTTTGGGGCATATGGAGTTATTGGTCTCTTTTTAAAGCTTGTTCTTTCGTCTTGCTTTCAATGAAAAAAATACCCATCTATCTCCAAAAGAAATTAAGATTTTTTTATCGAATGAGGTAGGGGTCCCCTGGATTCAGATTTAATATTAGCGAGCCTCCAAAGTTTGGTTACTTCCAAAGTCCTTGAAAACTATAAACTTAAATTTTTCGTGCCTTTGATCAGTGTTCTTCAGTAAAATCCACACAGCAGTATGTTTCTAAAAGGACATAAATGGTATTGAGCCAAAAAGTAAAAATTTGAACTAAATTGCCAAACAGGAAGAAAAATGCCATTCTCTTTGATTTCATTATGTAGATGAGCACCTGGTCTAATGGTATAGGTTTAACGCCCCTATCAACACTGTTAGGTAATTTAAGAGACGGGACCTCCGAGTTTAACGCTCATCTTCAAAACGACCAAACCAGGTGGGAAATTCGTGTAAAGTGCCGTTCCCAAGGACACAACGTCAGGTTGAGCTGAGGCTCGAACCCCAGTACCAGCAATCGAGATTCAAGTAGCATAAATAACCACTAGGCTACTGACGCCAAGCCACTACTCAGAGGTCTCCAAATCACCCCTTCTGTGAGCAACAGTGAAGAGCTGAACCTTTACACAAAAGAAACTTTTAGTTTAAAACTTCTATGTTTAATATCTCTTAGTCTAATATCTCTAAGTAAAATTAATAAATAGCATTTGTATAGCACACATCCCCACTCAACAGAAAGAACTATTCACTATGCGCTTTACAATCTAATATTACAACCCCCAGAAGACCTTAGAACATTCAGAAACATTCTTGGCTTCCGAGGAAGCATACAGTGCAAGCAGCTGATTAAGCACTCAAGCATTAACACATTAACAAGATCTTTTGGTTTGCTATCTATAGCCCTTGGTACTTCTTTTCACCTGAGTAAAGTGAAAAAAATAATGTAAAGTGCCTTTCCAAAGAACAAAACATCCAGGCATTCATGGGGTTCGACCCAACGATGGTGCTCTAACTGTGGCTTACAATCTCTCTCATAGTAGAGGCTGGTCTAATGCTGGTCTTCTAGGTCTCACTGAACAGATGCCAGTTTAACAGAGGACCACTATCTCTCACACAATCTAACACCATTCTAACACCGGATCACTATCTCTTACATCACAGACGGCAGTCTAACACAAGTCCATTATCTCTCACAACATCTAACACCAATCTAACACAAGTCCATTATCTCTCACACCATCTAACACCAATCTAACACAAGTCCATTATCTCTCACACCATCTAATACCAATCTAACACAAGTCCATTATCTCTCACACCATCTAACACCAGTCTAACACTAGTCCACTATCTATCTCATCATCATCCGGTGCCTTGCCGACTGGCGTGGGCGACCATGGACCTCCACTTCACCCTGTCCTTCGCTGCAGCAATGGTGT